GCGCGCATAAAACCTTCGAAAATGTTACCTTTATAAATTAATAGATTATTGGGTTGTAGAGGGTATATTAAGTGTTGAGGTGTATTTTGGCGCGTGGGGAAACCTCTTATACTTTTTCTTAGCCTTCGTCATTAATTTATTGATTTACATGGGTGTCTGACTCGTAATGGCTGTCCGACTCGAATTACGCTAGACGGTACATTTTCAGTCTCACCGCGGCTCCAAGTCCCCGTGAAGACTTAAGCTTCCAACTGAACGTGTCCGGTTAAGTGCGATTTGACGTCGCCTTTTAAACCGCCCACACCTTCACACTTTCGTGCTACCGATAGCAGGCGGTTCGAAATTTAATTATTCCAATAAAGACACTTTTAACTGCCTAGAGCAGAACAACCAGGTCGTTGCCGGTCGACAAGTCCGGTTATATGAAGTACCTGTTGATGTTGCAATGGGGTGGGCCAAGGAAGCGTGGCGGTCTATGACGCAGTCTACAGTGACGAATTGTTGGGCTCAAGCTGGCATCATGGACGCCCACCTACCTTACCACATTTAATGGCAGATTGTCGAATATGGAGATTACTGTAATAATTCGTGAATAGTTGGCTGTGAACGATGTCTTTGACTTTCAATAACTATAAAAAATTATAGCCTGTCATATTTGTTCGTGGACAACTGTTCGGTTTACAGTACTTCGTACAAAGTACGTACTGCAGTCGACAACGTACAGGTAATGAGGAACCATTATAATGTCGTTCATAAAATCAAACAGGTTTTGCTCAACTTTCGCGGCAAATTGGACTGACGTTACACCGTCATGAGCAGCTCGACCCCTATGCATGTGTGCCCGATTTGCGATAGACACTTCAGTGCACATAGCATTGAGTCCCACGTGAATCTATGCCTTACCAAGGCCTCGAGCAGTTCCAGTGGCGTGGGACCAACGCCGCGTGCAAGCCCCCCAGCACTCAAATCGCCCACGACGGCACAAACCCACAAAACGCATGCCGTGTCGTCGTCAAAAAGGCCACGACCATCGACTCCGCAGCCTCAGGAAGAGAATGTTACTGGCTTAAATACACCCAAACGACATCATCGACAGAATGACACAAGACCTTTGGCGGAGCGCATGCGACCCTCCTCACTCGCCGACGTCGTCGGGCAAGATGAACTCCTCGGACCGGACAAACCTTTAAGACGACTGCTTGAAAGTGGCAATATTCCCAACATGATTCTTTGGGGGTAATGTTTCCACCTACATCATTCGCATGCTCATGTTTGCAACTAGGCCTCCGGGGTGTGGAAAAACCACTCTTGCGACGCTCCTGGCGAAACAGAAGAAAGATAACCAACGCTTTGTGACCCTTTCCGCAACAACTGCCAAGCTCGCACAAGTTCGAGAAGTGTTTGAGAAGGCTGTGAACGAAGCGCAGCTCTTGGGTCGCCAAACGATCCTCTTCGTCGACGAGATCCATCGCTTTTCGAAGCTCCAGCAGGTGTGCTCCCAGCACCATGCACATTAACAATCACAATTCGACACACTGGATCATGGCGCGTAGGACACATTCCTTCCACAAGTCGAGAGTGGTGCCATTACGCTCGTCGGTGCAACGACCGAGAACCCGTCGTTTGAGTTGAACGGGGCGCTGCTCAGTAGATGCCGGGTATTTGTTCTCCACAAGATAGAGTCCAAGCACATCTACACCCTATTGCAAAGAGCCACAAAAGTTGCCAGTCCGTCTGCGATTGTAGCGGACGACGCGCTCTCCTTTCTCGCGGACCAATGCAATGGCGATGCCCGCATGGCGCTCAATGCACTGGAGATGGCACTCCTTTCAGCTGCGCCCCACACAAACAACATCGGAACCCCCGAAACGCCAACTTCCCACGCCGTTGTCACACTGGCCCATGTAAAAGCTGGATTTCAACGGTCTCACGCCTTGTACGATCGCAAAGGTGATGCCCACTACGACTGCATCAGCGCGCTTCACAAATCTATCCGTGGAAGTGATGGCGACGCCGCGCTATACTGGCTCGGCCGTATGCTCCAAGGCGGAGAAAATCCATTGTATATTGCGAGGCGACTCATTCGAGTTGCGTCGGAAGATGTTGGGTTAGCTGATCCCCAAGCGCTGCCGTTGGCAGTCGCTGCGTTCCAGGCGTGCCATGCCATCGGTACAATTCCCATTTCTGGCAACCACTTGGATGAAATTTTGCGTCAGGAATGCCGGAATGCGACGTCATCTTGGCCCATTGCGCCGTCTACTTGGCGAGGGCATCAAAAAGCGTCGAAGTATACAAAGCCTTCAAGCGCGTGAAGCAAACGCTGGACGAGTGGTGTGGAATCGACCCAGACGTCCCGCTGCATCTTCGGAATGCACCCACGCGCCTCATGGAGACGATGGGCTGTGGAAGAGGTGTGTGTGTTTTGTCACGTATGGATCGATGCTGACATCCTGGATGGGGCAGAGTACAAATACAACCCAGACTATGAAGGAGGTGTCGTCGATCAAACGTATTTACCAGACCAGCTCGTCGGCCACCACTTCCTCCAAGCTAAAGATTGGGTTCACGAGAAGGAACAGCCGTCAAGCGATACCTGACACCGCTCAACTTGTCTGCACTCCTTCCATCTCACTCCTGGGCCGATGCATTCATCTGTCATCGTGGTGTAAACTATTCGGGAAACACATGATGGGGTGGCATTCCAAAACAAGTTGCCTTTCAAATGTATTCTCGAGTCGACGAGCATCTATGGAGTTGGAAAATATCCACTCTTGACCAAGGGCTACATTACAACAAAGGTTGCAGAGGTTCACGGTCGAATCCGCGAACGAGGCTAATGCAATTTGCCACAAAGACGGCGTTGCGCCACTTGGGGGTGAAATCGACTGCCTTGTGATAGTCATGCCTTGACAAGTGCAATGGCAACCTCGAGTCGACTTGGTCAATTATCAGGCGGTGGCAACGTGCGGTAGTTGCCTTCTTCCTAGTGGAGAGGAACGAGACCTATGGGTAAGTGCTGATGCCATGGTCGCATTGGACACCCACGTGACTTGGCAATGGGCCATCGCATGGCAGCCAACCGCGAAACACCGAATGTGTACAAGGTGACTACTGTCGTCAATACGACCCGACATCGTACCGCTGGTTTGAATTACGATCCCATTCGACTCACGTCTACAGCACCGAATCCTGCAACAACTGAAGCATCATGTGCAATACGGCTGTGCTAATCGAGCAGCTCTTTAAATGCATCAGGACGGCGAAGAATTTGGTCGTCTTGAGGTGCTAGCCCACACATCATGAACAACTCCAAGCGGTCGCCGTGTCCAACTTGTGTCGGGATTTCTTGTCCGGATTCATCCGGATACAAATCGTAGTGTAATTTGGCAATTTGTCTGGAAGCACACGATGTCAGGAACACCAACGTTCGAGCCGGAAGCGGTCATCTCGGCAGCAAAGCACCAGATCATCTCGAGCAACGTAAGCTTCTTCGTGTATCCTTAATGCCCGAGCTGATGTTTGCGATATCTGCTAGTACAAAGAAGTCGACCAAGCTCGGTCCACCGTGTTCTCCATCTTGGAGAAATGCGACGAACTCACGTCCATCGCGCTATACTTGCAGTTTGCGGACCTGGAGATTGAACTGCGCCAATTCAAGCAAGCTACCAAAGTGCTGGAGCAAGCTGTGGTGACTCGCCCGTTGTCCCTTGCCCTCTGGAAGCGGTACGTTCACGAAATCGTCCAGAGATGATTCACAAGTTGCGCGAGCATTAGGTATGTCGGGTTTTGCTTGGAGCGTCAAAAGCACAGCAATGCGAAGAAGCTTGTTGTGCGCGCGATCGAACTCCTCCCGGTTCGTTGCCGAACCCGACTCTGCTTCCTTACGTACGACGGCGAGTAGACCGAAAATCATGCCGAATTATGGGGCCTATTGGAGCAAAACGAGCACACGAAAGGAGATGTTGAAGTTCTAAAAGCTCAGGTTGCAGCAGGTACGGGCGCTTCTACGACACGACCATATTCATGACAATTCTGGCTTTAGGGGCAACCCTTCTCGCGCCGACTCCTCCAGTTGTGGCGCCAGCGTCCGCCCCACCCACTAGCACTGCAGGTGCCGTGGCTCCAGCCGCTGCGCGCTCCACCCCTTCCATCGAACCCCTAGAACATGTACTACCCAACACGTAGCACCTTTGTTACCGTCGCTTTGGCGTAGAAAACTGCCCAGTACTTCGACAAGCTCCCGCTGACTCTCCCAGTGACCCCCGACTGTCCGCATCTACTCTTCGACCCGATCGATTCCTCTGTCCAGTTGTCGTCCAACGTGCTCTACCAGCTCGAAGACTTTACGCGGAACGAGAGGGTACGACCCATGCATCACCCTGGCGTGGCAAAGATGATGCCGTGATGATTATGGAGTAGGTGTTTGGCGAAGTTTTGCGGCTGTATGAAAGCCAGCGCCAGAAAGAAGTGGACACACTCTATCGCTGGCAAGACCTCATTGCGATGCAGATGAAAGAAGGTATAGACAGCGTCACCATGGCCCAGCTCAAGTCGAACTAGGCAGCGAACTCTACCGCCGCCACCACTCGTCTGGCGCAAACTCGGCCGAATCGGAGGTTGGTTGGATTCAACCACAGTGTGGCTTGCTCAGACAGCTCCATGGGGGTTCATAGAACCTCATCCAGCGCCATGAATTCACCCTACGCGCGGCTTCGTCGCAGGCGCAATTCATTGAGATCACTGCCATGGACCGCAGCAATCAGCTCGTGGCGCAGCAAGTATGGTTCTCGCTCCATGTCGTTCGCGCCTGACCTGTCGAGTGTAGCGGGCGTTGGAAGCGCTGCGAGTGCCGACGATGTCCGTATCGAAGGATCCGAACCTTGTGACGCAGCAGGTGCGTACTCGTGCTGGAGTGTTCGCGTGGTGATGGTAATTGGATCGATAGCGCCGAGTGATTCTGTGGCTCCTGGAGGCCGAACGGGCGTGGAGTCAGTCGCAGCAACAACCGCGTACAAGGTAAAAGAGACCCGTGGGCAATGAACCGACAGCGACATGTAGAACCGCCGTCGACCCTCGAGACCTCCGCCGTTCATCGCCAAGACCAGCCGATGAGGTTTGGATGACAGCGAAAACTTCTTTGTCTGACTTTTGGTGTGGCGGTGGCAGCTCTTCCACCCGTACGCTTCCCGCGGACGCCCCCCCATGCAGCGCCCCATGGGAGGTACGAATGGCTGGTAAGTCGACGTGGTGATCATGCTGCGAGGAGTAGGTGGTCGCGGTCGAGGAGGTCGCCGTTGAGGTTACCAGAGTAAACACCATCCAATCTAGGCTGATGCCAATTCTACTTCGTTGAATCAAACGTTGTGGTTCGGACCTGTTGATGCAAAAACAATCCGAAAGAAAGCGTGATGTTCTCGGGAGGAGTACTGCCACGCTGTTACATCGTTGGACACTACCTGTTCTCACTCCCGGTCCTCGCGACGCGTAGAGCTGAGACTGTTGACTCTCACCGTCTTCGTAAAAAGCAAAAGTACCTTAGTGGAAAAAAGTCGGACAGTCATACATGTAGGTGGCATACGACATGTATCCGACAAATTTTGGGCAGGGATTGGACGACCGACTCAAGTGGATTAAATGATTGGATAAAACATTTTCACACAAATGTATTGGTCGACAAAGATGTCGTTCGTCAACATATCACAAGTTTAGCGCAATAACACGACGCTATTGGTAGAAATACGAGAGCAGTTTCATATCCAATATTGTCAAGGATGTCGCCGAAGCCCTCGGGTGCTGCAGTGTCAAAGCAGACCATAGAGGACTCGTTCCATGGTACGGCAACGAGGCGAGCCTACGCAACATATCAGAAACAGTTCGAGTCATTCTTGCGCTTCCAAAAAGGAGGTATCGCACCTGAGGCAGCTACAACTGCTGAGTGTACGGACTTCTTTCACTTCTTGTATTCCAGTGGCAAAAAAGCCCGCACGATTGACCTCGCGAAGTCTGCACTTGTGGCTTACTTCAACAGCAAGAACCTGTCACCAAACCCAGCACAGAACGTCAG